AACTCACTCAAAAAGTACTTTGTTCATTTACGGAGAAGTGAGTTCATTCAGACTGGAGGGTGTTTAGACAGATCCGGTCCAATGGGTGACATTTAACGGTCGGAACACCAGCAATCTTGTGGGGTTTCCAATGGAGTGCAATTGGTTGGATTCACTTGAAGCTACGACGGATTCACTTGAAGTTGAAAAGGTATAGTTCTGCCCCTTGGGAGTCACCTGTTCATGTACACACAAGCACATGCATGCACGCACGTCTGTCGTTGTTCATTGAGAGGTCTAATTATGTACGCCCAGCTCTTTTATGATTGGCTCATCCTTTGGGAGCTTCATGTCGCTGTCTGAACGAACTTATTTTGTTTGAATTCGTGTATTTTGACCACATCCTCTATTTGACACAGCGATGAGCTGTCCCCTTTTGGAGCACCTTCATTGTAGAGTGTGTTTTAACACAGCCGAGCGCTGTCATATTCCCTTCGAGATATAAGGGGGTCATCCTTATATCTCGAAGTACCTTGATTGTTCTAACCCGGTTACCTCAACAATCAAAGTTTGCATGTTACTTATCATGCCATTAATTGACTCGTATTAATAGTACCGTATCACGAGACAGTTTTGGTTTTCATTGCGTTGGAACCGAGACTTTGCGCGTCACTTGTCGCCAGGTTTAACACGGGAAGACAGTCCATTCCAATGCCGCCAAAAGGGGATTAACACCCCATGTCTGTAAAAAAGTATGCATTTTGTGACGGTTGGCGTGTATGATTTTTTCACTTAAATGTGAGCTCCAGTGCTTGCAAAATACAATACAGTGACCTAATTCAATTTCCTGGTTCACGAAGAGACACTGTGCCTAACTAACTTCGAGCGATTTCCTTCTGACGACGTAAATCAAGATAGTGGTGGTGAAACTGGTTCAACACAGCAATATCTGTGCCACTGCGATTCACTCACCGAGCGTTAGGCACCCTCGTTCGGAGGATAAAACAAAGTTCCACTCAAAGGGGTTCCCGCTAGAATACCATGCCCAAACTGGCGGTACCTTGTGTGGTTCGCCACTCCAAGTCCTGGGGCTTAGGTTACCGGTTTCCGTGACGGAGCAGCAGGTCTTCGTGACAATGGGATTCGCCCTGTCTTCCGTTCACCACACTTAGGTGCGTGCCAAATGCGTGACTATTTAGCAGTGTGAATTTTATTGTGTACCATCTTGTGAAATGTTTTATGCCGAACATCAGTGCTAGTGCTTTTTCAATTTGACTCTAGTTCTGTTCTTCTGTCCAGACGAATCGATCGACATTTTATGAAGCATTCCAGTCCCGGGAATGCAAACCGGTCCCAGTTTCGGTGTTGGAAGCCCCAGCGGCTCTAGTCGTGATGCGAGTGAGAGATAAATTCATAACTCGATCGATCACAACTAATGCATCCTGTGACGTAACATTAACCAAAACTGTTCGGTGTCTGTGCCCTTGTAATAAGAAAGCTACCAGTTGATAAATGTGGAACAACATTGTGGAAGTGATTTACGAGTCAACGGAACGCTCGCAGTCCTTTCTTTTCGTTGGGCGTGAACATTCGGTCAGTAGTCGCGGTCTTCATCAGATCGGGTTTTCTACTAATGTTCCCATGTGTACAGGTCGTTTCGGACAAAATCCAAATCCGTCACTGAGAGACAATTATGATAGAGTGACTTTACTCAACAGGACAAACCAATACTGTTAGACAACATGACAGTCATCTGTTTTTATTGATTGTAAAGTAAGAGAGCCGGAAGAATCGAAAAAATTCATTGAATGCGTATTGCTGGGAATTTGATTTGCCAATCCCATGTGGCACAGAACATGTAAATGCCAATCAAAAACTGGAAATTCCCATAAGAACTCACTACCCCGGCAAAATGAACAGCTCGCTAAGCGGTAATAAATTCGAAGGCGCATTGAAATTATCGGTCAAATCAGATATTGACCAGATGTAATCTCACGGTTGCCCGGTCATCACGAGGTGTAATCCTGCTTTGTGTTCAATCGAGCAGCAAGTGCTACTGTACTTTTATTACACAACAATTAAAGCGGTGTGTGTTTATGATCTTAGAATATGTTTCCATGCATGGTAGGATTAAAAAGAGAGCATTAAAGCTAGAAACAGCTTGTGGATCCTTCCTTCAGATGTGTGAATGCTTTTTACCGCTGTTTCATCTGTCCCCTGTAGTCCAAGTCCCAATTCCCGTGTTGCCGGTTCCCATGACAGAACAGTAGGTTTTGTATTACACACTTCTGTATGATGAACAGCAGACGGAGTAAACCCTATGGTCACGAGGACCTGCTGTTCATTGATGGAAACTGGTAGCCTAAACCCCGGGACTTGGAGTGGCGAACCATATAAGACCTCGTTAGGTCAGGTGTTGTATAGAACCGGGCGACAGCAAAGTTGTCTTTCACCCATGCTGGGTGGCGGTGGCGGGGCTCGGACCCTAGGGTACAAAGCACACCGGTTTCAACGACTAAACCACTGCGCTACCACCAGCCTTGACTTTGAAATTATCTGCGTTGGTTCATCTCGCAATTATGGATAATAACTATGATAATCTATTCCTGACTGGAGACATTTTCTGCTGAGAGAATAGTATTAGATGTAAGATAGGATTTTTCTGTAGTTGACAGACAGTATATTTTTGCCAAAAATGTTTGTTTTTCTAAATGACTAAAGAACAACTTCCTCTTTCAGCTTTTGGTACCGCTAACCTTTTCACAAAGCTCCCTTGCTTTTCAGAAACGGTTTGCATACTACTGTAGTCAAGTATTCCCTACAATAATTTCGAAATTAGAGGTTCTTTAGAGTGCCATCTTGTCTCCTTTTTGTTCTTTTTGTCCCTACATCTGTTAGCTCACAAAGTAGGTGTGGTGTTGGTGTTGGTATTTTTATATATCCTACACTGAGGACTACTCTCCCTAATACGGAACTCAGTATCTGAGCTCTGTGAGAATAGTCCGATGTAAACAGCCTCTCTAGGAACTACCTAAATGTCGTGATATTTTATTCTCTTGCTCTGCCGAAATGAACTCTGCCTTCATTGTGATGTGCCAGTCGGAAATCTTTAACGATACATCTCCTAGTGGGGTAATAGCAATTACGTGTTTTTGGGATTTATCATGAATCGTTGTCTCATTCCAAATGACCTTATCAGTCGTGTCTTTTTCCTTTTAAAAGATTTTTTTATACCCTCTACCTACATCTCCTATGCCTCCCCCGGGTGATCTGTTCTGGTTTATTGCAAAAAATATCTGTTTAATCGCGAGCTCACTCAGACATTTTTTCGTGTACATATCGTGCTTCAACCAGGACTCACACCGTCAGTACTTTTGAAAAGTTTGCTCCATTTCTAGAATCCCATATATCCCGCCTCGTCTGACTGCGTTTTCACATCATCCAAGCTAACCCCTTAAAAAAAACAATTACCCGGGTACCCAAACATTCACATCCTCACTTGTTTTGCCTGATCTCATTTTTTCTTAATTTTTATTTATTTATTTTTCACATATGTCTGAATCCAGACTGCATGCCAAACAATACAATACAATAATGTTTATGAAAAAGAAAGACGTTCCATGATTTGCATGCGAGCGGAATACGGCCAAGTTACCCAGGCCAAAGCAGGTGAATTTTCTTGAGGAATCCACAACCGGAGCCTTCGGTTCACCAGAACTTGACCCGCAAGGCAGCGGGTTGGTGTGAAAATCATGATCCATTGGGGGCCGGTTTCCAGTTCATCGGATCACACGACCTTTGGTCGGAGTCAAACGTTCAAGGTGTCCAATACACCTCGATGCCCAATGAAGCCGGTGGCCACTGTCACAACTGAGAAGTTGTGTGTGTGGTTCGTACGCCTCTTCTTGATTGGTTTTGAATCAGGATTGTTAAACAACTCCCTTAGGTGAACTACCAGTGGCCCACCAGCCCGATTATAACCCCGGATGTCGGCTATTCGTCCTCTCACTTTGGTGTGAAACACCGCTACGAGAAGACAGTGAGCAGGGCTTCCTCAACAGAGGTTGTTCGAGACGCTTGGTCGTACGTGTGTATTCCTCGAGGTACAAGGGAAGGGTGACCAACCGTAACCCTAGACACCCACCCCCGACCATACTGAGGCTTTTGGAGGCCTGATCTCGTCTATCATTAATCTTACCCGGATCTAATTTTTCTCAGTGTATTCACAGAACTATGTTTACTCGAAATTTATCATTAATTTGATTTGTTTTCAACTTTTATGTTCATTGCTTGCAGCTTAGGCCATGACAGAGTTGGTTCTTAACTTGTATTGTTTTTATTTTGTTATTTGGATTCCCTGTTGAACCATTCATAATTTGTTTGCATTGGCATGATTTGCCCGATGTTCGTCTATCTATTTATCTGTGTATTTCCTACAGGTGGTTCGTCAAATCCCTGTCGATCGACTCTTGTTCGAAACAGATGCTCCTTGGTGCGAGATTCGACCCACACATGCCAGTAAGTTTATACAAGCCGTCTTCGTACCA